CTGCGATTATTATATACAACAAACCAATCAATGCATAGGGCAAAGTGTGATGGCCTCCGTAGGGCTGTCTAGTTGCAATAGAACTCCACTTGGAGGGATTAGTGGCCACCTCACTGCCAGGTGGTGCATTGAACAAATCCTGGGATGTCACTTGCCCTTCCTGTGGGCTCATCCTGATGTCCCAACATTCTGGCTGGATAACACCTTTACTGAGCTGCTCATATAACAACAGCTTTATTGGAAGATGATAACGTGACAGTTATGCAGTGGATGCCTTACTCACCAGACATGAGCACAATTGTATACCTTGGGATAAACTGAGATAACATACTGTATGGCTTCTAGGGGTTCAAATACCAGTGAACAGGAACTAGTCTAACCAGAATCTACAAGAGGGATCAAGTACAGTCTCACAAGACGTAATTAACAACCTGGCACAAATAATACATCATGAATATACAGCTTGTATTGCTTCCAACAGTGGCCACACATGTGTATTAGGCTACTAGCCTGTGACTTTCATGGTATAACTGGTGTTGATGATGAATGTTAATTAGCATAATACATTTACCTATGTAGGTACGTTTTTGTGCTAATAGTTTGCAAACTGGTTGTATTTATAAATGGTTCTTGTTTTGATGCCCAGTGTAGACAGTAATTGTCATTTAAAATAATATTTAGCCTTAATACATATTTTAAACAGAAGTTACTCGTACCATCATTTTAATGTTGAGAAATATAAAATTGTAGACCACAATTTGTAGGAAACTTACAGTACTTTGTCAATATTATACATAGCCCAACTAGATGTACATTCTTAATCTGACACCAACTTTAAAAATCACACAATAACAATGAAATAATAATATTATAGATTTCTATTAATATAGTTGGTGGGTCTAAAAAGACCACTTTCAAGGTTTAATCTTAGTTCACTGGCTTCTGCTAACCATTGTCAGTTGTGTATTAACAAATGGACTCAACAAGACAACTAACTGTGTGTGATGGGTGATGAGCTAAGAGCTATGTTCAGCTATGCAATTAGTCTGTAGAATATACTTTAAATATCTGTTGTCAAATCTTAATTTAAAACATATTTTCTATTATATAATGTTTATAGTAAATTCTGTACATTTGTCTTGCATGGTTTAAGTAAATTCATATATTGTACATTTACAGAGAGGCATCAAACAAGCAACAGTTGCTTTTGGATCTTATAGTTGTGTTATGTTTTTAATGCCTTTCAGTATATATGTTATTGAATAGTCAAAATGCCATCCCATACCATATGCAGTTTTGAAACAAGACACCAACAACTGTTTGGTGTTCTGCTGAATCACATCAGCTGTGTTGTACAGTAGAATCTCATTACAGCAAAAAAATACATTTTGCATTTTGTTCATTACTATGAAAATGTGTTAGAATGAGAAATCGTGTATCCATCACCTCTCCTCCCCCTCTTACAGCATTTAAGAGCATGTATGACAAAATAAACAGCAGATATCAAAGCTGAAACATAATCGGTGTAAAACATATGGCTTTGCTCAATCTATAGAGAAGAAAACGTTTTAGTACACCACAACAGTGCTGTCAGTAGTAACACTATCATAAGTCAGTGCTTTTCATATTATACACAATTATGTCTATCCACAGAACTACAAACTGGTTGTCACCATATAATGAGCGTTTATCCTTAAGTCAATTTGTTTACTTTATGTGAGAA